TGGCCTGGGCACGGCCACACTGCCATGGGGACAGAGACAGGGACACTGTGAGGGACAGCAATGGCCTGGGCACGGCCACACTGCCATGGGGACAGGGACACTGTGAGGGACAGCAATGGCCTGGGCACGGCCACACTGCCATGGGGACAGGGACACTGTGAGGGACATGGCCATGGCCTGGGCACGGCCACACTGCCGTGGGACAGGGACACTGTGAGGGACATGGCCATGGCCTGGGCATGGCCACACGCCAGCACTACCATGGGACAGGGACAGAGACACGTCAGGGACACGGCCGTGGCCAGGCACAGTCACATGCCAGCACTGCTGTGGGGACAGGGACACTGTGAGGGACATGGCAATGGCCTGGGCATGGCCATCCTACCATGGGGACAGAGACAGGGACACTGTGAGGGACATGGCCATGACCTGGGCATGGCCAGAGACCAGAGCTGCCATGGGGATGGGGACAGAGACACGTCAGGGACATGGCCATGCCTGGGCACAGCAGCACCGCCATGGGGACAGGGACAAAGACACGTCAGGGACATGGCTGTGGCCTGGGCACAGCAGCACCGCCATGGGGACAGGGACAAAGACACGTCAGGGACATGGCCGTGCCTGGGCATGGCCACACTGCCATGGGTACAGGGACATGGCAGGGACACGGCCACAGCCTGAGCCTGGTCACACACCAGCACTGCTGTGGGGACAGGGACACCATCACAGGGACAGGGTCAGGGGATCAGGGACAGGGACACTGTCATGGGGACACGGGGACAGCAGCTACAGGCCCACACCGAAGGGCACAGTGGGGACACTGCAGGCGTGTCCAGGGGTGCCAGGGTGGGGTCAGGGGTCCCGGGTGCCACCCACCTTCCTGGGTGATGCAGATGGAGCCGCTGCCCATCCCCACGCGCAGCGCGTCCACCCCGGCGTCGATCAGGTTCTTGGCCTGGGCCGCCGTCACCACTGCGGGGCACACCCCAAAATGGCACCCCAGCAGTGCCAGGGCACCCCAAAACGGCACCCCAGCAGTGCCAGGGCACCCCAGAATGGCACCCCAGCAGTGCCAGGGCACCCTGAATCCCATCTCTGTGCTGCAGGGTGCACCCCAAACATGGTGCCCCAAAACAGCAGCCCAAAAGTGGCACCCCAAATCCAGCCCCACTCTCCCCAAATCCTGCCTCACTATGACGGGGAGCACCTCAAAAACAGCCCCCAAAATGGCACCCAAATCCCACCGCAGCACTGCAGGGGACACCCCAAACCCCGCCCCCATTTCCCTCACCTCTCTTTTGGGGTTGGCACATTTCCCCTCTCATCATTTCGGGGTCGCCCCGTTTCCCTGCTCATCATTTTGGGGTCGCCCCGTTTCCCCGCTCATCATTTTGGGGTCGCCCCGTTTCCCACCTCATCAGTGCCCCCCGTTTGGGGTCTCACCGTTGCCCCCCACCACCTGCAGCTCGGGGTACTTGGCCTTGATGTAGCGGATCATGCTGAGCTGGTACCGGGAGTTCCCCTGCGACGAGTCCTGGGGCCGCGTTTGGGGTGGGGCGGGGCAGGTTTTGGGGTGCGGGGCAGGAGGTTGGGGTGCCACGGGAGGGGAGCAGCGAGTTGGGGTTCAGTGAGCAGGGGGTACCCCCCAGGGCCCACCTTTTTTGGGGCACCCCCCACCCAGCACAAGCAGCTCGATCCCCGTCCCCAGATCCCATCCCCTCCCTTTTGGGGTCCCACGGCTTTTGGGGCACCCCAACCCTCCTATGTTTAGGGTCTTCCCCCTGCACCAGCGGCTCCATCCCCATCCCTCCATCCCCTTCTTTTTCCCTTCCTTTCTATCCCTGCCCGGTTTTGGGGTCTCCCATTTCTGGCGATCCCCGTTTCCGGGGTTCCCCATTTTCGGGGTCCCTCACAGCAGCACCCTGAGGTCATCTCCGCCTGCACCAGCAGCTCCATCCCCACCCCATTCCTCCATCCTCATCCTCTCCGTTCTTGGGATGCTCCCCTTCCCCCATTTCCATGCTGCCCCTTTTTCATCCCCCCCCATTTTGGGGCCTCGCTTTTTTTGGGGTGCCCTCACCCCCCCAGTTTTCGGGGACCCCTCCACAGCCCCCAGCACCACGAGCTCCGCCCCCCCCCCCCCCCCCCCCGGCCCCCCCCCCCCCCCCCCCCGCCCGGCAGCTCCAGCCCCATCCCCTTCCTCCCCCTCCTCCCCACTGCTCGGAGCCCCGGGTTTTGGGTGCCCCCGGGTTTTGGGGCGCCCCGGTTTCGGGGTGCCCCCGGGTTTTGGGGCGCCCCGGTTTCGGGGTGCCCCGGTTTCGGGGTGCCCCGGGTTTCGGGGTGCCCCGGGTTTTGGGGTGCCCGGGTTTTGGAGTGCCCGGGTTTTGGGTGCCCCCGGGTTTTGGGATGCCCCGGGTTTCGGGGTGCCCCGGGTTTTGGGTGCCCCGGATTTTGGGTGCCCTCGGGTTTTGGGTGCCCCGGGTTTTGGGTGCCCCGGGTTTTGGGGTGCCCGGGTTTTGGGGTGCCCGGGTTTTGGGTGCCCCGGGTTTCGGGGTGCCCGGGTTTTGGGTGCCCCCGGATTTTGGGTGCCCCGGTTTTGGGGTGCCCCGGTTTTGGGGTGCCCGGGTTTTGGGTGCCCCGGGTTTCGGGGTGCCCGGGTTCGGGGTGCCCGCACCAGCACCACGAGGTCGGCGCCCGCCTGCACGAGCAGGTCCAGCCGGTATTTGTCGTCCTCGCGGGTGCCGATGGCGGCCCCGACCCGCAGCTGCTTCCGCTCGTCCTTGGAGGCCGCCGGGTGCTCCCGGTTCTTCTTCAGGTCCGTGCGCGCCATCAGCGCCACCAGCTCGTCCCGGCTGTTGACGATGGGCAGCTTCCCTGCGGGGACAGCGCGGGGACAGTCACCCCCGCCCCGCCGGCGCCCCGGGCACCGGCCGGGAGGGACCCGGGCGCAGGGCGAGGGTGGCCAGCAGCGAGGAGCTGCCACCCCGCAGCTTCCCCGGGGACACGGGGGCAGCGCGGGGCACCCTGGGGTGCCGGGCACCGGGGGGCTGCAGGGACACGGGGACGTGGAGGTGACCCCAGGGACAGGACACAGGGCTGACCCCAGGGACATGGGGGTGACCCCAGGGACAGGAACAGGGACATGGAGGTGAGACGAGGGACAGGGACACAGCGCTGACCCCAGGGACATGGGGGTGACCCAGGGACATGTAGGTGACCCCAGGGACAGGGACACAGGGCTGACCCCAGGGACATGGGGGTGACCCAGGGACATGGGGGTGACACCAGACACAGGAACAGGGACATGGAGGTGAGACGAGGGACAGGGACACAGCGCTGACCCCAGGGACATGGGGGTGACCCCAGGGACATGGGGGTGACACCAGGGACATGTAGGTGACCCCAGGGACAGGGACACAGGGCTGACCCCAGGGACATGGGGGTGACACCAGGGACATGGGGGTGACCCAGGGACATGTAGGTGACCCCAGGGACATGGAGGTGACCCCAGGGACATGGAGGTGACGCCAGGGACAGGGACACAGGGCTGACCCCAGGGACATGGCAGAGACCTGAAGGGATGGGGCAGTGACAGCCACCAGCTCACCAGTGCTGGTCACTGCCAGCAGCCCTGGGGACACAGCGGGGGACAATGTGAGGGGAGGGGAACAGGGACAGGGGACATCTCCCATGGGCCACCCAGGATGGCACAGAGGTGGCCCTGAGTGGAGGTGACCCCTGGGGGTGACACCTGTGGGGTGACAGGGAGGTGTCTCCAGGGCTGACAGGGGACTGGGGGGTGACAGTGACTCAGGGGGTGGCAGTGACACAGGGGG